AAGACTTAAAAGTAATATTTTGGTGGCCAGGTATGAAGAAAGATGTTGCTGAATATGTAGCTAAGTGTGTAGCATGTTAAATTATGAAAGCTGAACATCAAACACCTAGTGGATTACTGCAATCACTACCTATCCCCCAGTGGAAGTGGGAAGAAATTGCAATGGATTTTGTCATGGGTTTTCCCCGATCTAAACAAGGACATGACAGCATTTGGGTGATTATTGATAGACTAACAAAATCAGCTCACTTTTTACCTATCAAGCAAACTGATTCAGTAGACAAATTGACACTTCTATATGTAAAAGAAATTGTCATATTACATGGTATTCCAAAAGTCATTATCTCAGATAGAGATGCTCGATTTACTTCGAGACTGTGGAAGAGCATTCATGAAAGCTTGGGTACGAATCTGCATTTCAGTACAGCTTTTCATCCTCATATTGATGGTCAATCTGAAAGAACTATTCAAGTACTGGAGGATTTGTTGAGATTATGTGTTTTGGATTTCAAAGGTAGCTGGGAGGATCACATACCTTTGATAGAATTTGCCTACAATAATAGTTATCAATACAATATACAAATGACACCATATGAAGCACTTTATGGTAGAAACTGCAGAACCCTCTTAACTTGGGTTGAGGTAGGAGAAAGACAGTTAATGGGCTCAGAACTGGTGGAGGAAGCAACAGAGAAAATTAGATTAATTAGAGACAGATTAAAAGCTGCTTAGGACCGCCAGTAAAAATATTATAATCCCAAGCACAGAGCAGTAGAGTTTGAAGTAGGTGACTTTATATTTTTGAAGGTTAAACCTATGAGGGTACTACTAGATTTGGTAAGGGAGGCAAATTGAGTCCTAGATTTATTGGACCTTTTAAAATTGTTGAAAGAATTGGAAAAGTTGTTTATAGACTTGCTCTTCTAGCTGACATGTTAGATATATATAATGTTTTTCATGTGTCACTGCTAAGAAAATGGGTTACAGATGCCCATCAACGAATTTCACATGATGATATCGAGCTACAAAAGAATTTGACTTATACTGAAGAACCCGAAAGAATACTGGATTTTAATATTAAACAGCTCAGAACTCGTCAAATTCCTTATGTTAAAATAAAATGGAAATACAGGCCATAAAAAGAAGCAACTTGGGAAAGGGAAGAAGATATTAAATTGAGATTCCCTCATTTGTTGAAGACCACTAAAGCAACAAATTTCGAGGACGAAATTTCCATAAGGGTGGATTATAATATCCATTTTTTTTATGTAAGTGCATAATTTTGGCATAAAATTTCCCCAAGACTCACTCCACACCCAAAGCATCAAATTTATTTTATTCGAAGCCTATATATATATTTTTAGTATTTAAATTTAGACATTTAATTATGTTGATTTATTCTTAACAGATGGTTAATTAAATGGATATAACTGATATCAAGCAAATCATGAGTGTTGTACAGTTCAGTTCCATTAAATAATTAAATAGTCATAGCAGACAATTCCACTTATATCCGCATGCAACAAATCAATTGCATCAAACGGTTGAGATAGCTTAGGAAGATTGTAGTGGAAAAAGCATTAGGCTTATAATATTATATAATTACTGCACTTGCCCATTATATTCCTCATACATTCCCGTCACTTTGTTCTATATCATTTGGAGTTCAAATGCTAGCAGTGAGCAGCAGAGGGATCTACGAGAGCTTGCTGGGGCTGCTCCTGTAGGCTGTTGTGGAGACTTTTAATCCTATGATCCTATTATTAGTTCAAGCAGGTAAGAAAAACTTCAACATCTAGCCTATAGTGTTTTGAAATGAATATTGGCTGAAATCTTTAGTTGATAGAAGAGGGAATAGAATATTATGTGCTGAAATTTTATTACAGAAATCTGAAATGTATACTTTAGATGTCAGTATGCAGATTTTTGAAATGGTATGAAGAAATCCGTATTTCTTAAGTTTGTATTGCTGAAAGTTGTATTGTTGTAATTGGGCAAGAATTAATAATTTATAAAACAAAATCAGTAGGGAGAAAGATAGGGCTATGGTAGACTTGCTGAAATTTGTTTTTGTATTTTAAAAGATTTATTTTTTTTAAATGATCTGCAGTTGTTGAAAGCAATTAAGAAGGGCGGGAAAAAGCTAAAGACGGTGGAATAAAGAGAGTTAAGACAAGATTATTGTTAAATGAGGAGAAATGTAGTGGAAATAGTGTTCAAAAGGAAAAGGGGCCACGATACTTTAGGTGAACCAAATTACCCGACCGTCCTGGAGAACTAGGTGATATACTTAAACAATGCTATATGAAATAATAGAAAATTTTATATACTTGTCAATTTATATTTGTTATGTTTACCCTAGCATTTCTTTCAATTTATTCAGGTATATTCATGTATGAATGAGTACAACAACATGTTATGATGGTTAAGAAAAAGGAATGATATTGAGAATATTAATAAGTTATAAATGGGGGATAGGCCCGCACCAGCAAAGGTAGCAAAGGCGAAAGACCTGACGAGGTAAGCCTACACTCTCGAAATTCTAAAAGTTGGGGATTATGACCCAGCCTTGAATGAGAGAGCAGCACCAATTCTAGAAATTTGGTATTTGGACCCAATCCTGAATTGGAACATTGGATGGGTGTAAAAGCTTATAGCCATTATATAACTTATAGATAAATGCTGAACTGAAACATAACAGAAAGTGATGTTATATATTTCTTATGTTTAGCAAAGAATTTTATATGGGTTTTATATTAATGGTTAATATGGTTAGAATTATTTCTTTTGCATTGATTGAGTATTTCATTGAGCATTGGCTCATTGGGCAGTGGTTATATTGCAAGTAAGTGAAAGGAGCCCGTAGGGCACTAGGTGAGAAAGAGGTGATCGTCCGTTTTTGGTGTAAATGTGTTTTGGTGTACAAAGAGATCTTAGAGGATATCTGAAGAGTACCTGTATAAACTTTTTGATATGTAAGTAAAGTTCAAAAGTTTTAGTAGAGCTCTGTATTTGTTTTAATTATATTGATGTTCAGTAAGGTATATTACATGCTTCCTATTATTAAGTGTGAAGTTTGATATGTTGAAATCCTTCTTTGTTATACTCCAGTTTGGATATTAGAGGGTGAGCCAAACTGGGGTGCGACAGTTCCCTTCTCCTTTGAAGTTCAAATTGGATACCAAATACCTTACTCTAAATGACTTTCACAACATAGTAATTTAAAATACATATACAAAGTTTAAAAGATTTTAGACAACCTGTATGTTATTCTAGACAGTTTATATAGAATCATCAACATCACAAGCATTTATGTATAATCATTGCTCAAATTTGAGCCAACACTTGGTCATGCTCTTTCATTTTCAAGAGGGCTTAAGCATATTTAACGCATGCGTAAAATTTGTTTGTTAAATTTTTATTAGCCCTTTTTTTATCCCCTTACATGAGAATGACGACTTGCAGAAAATTCTATGAGCAGCCTGATCGTCCTAACCTAGAAAAATCTAGCGCCAATCACTTCATATCATAAATAACATATAGAAATCATCATATCATCAACAAGTGGCACATCAAACTATAGCATAGCATATCATCTTTAGACAAGTGGTCAATATAAGCATAGAGACCTATTTAAGATGCTTTGTATTAGACATGCCAAAGGCTTGGGCAAGGTTGATTTGCGTGGATATGATATTGGTACTATACCTCGTACCATTCAACAGAAAAGACCACTCCTTTTAGGATTCTCTATGAAAGAGATCCTCCCCATGTGATTCATTATGGGCATAACGCTACACCTGTGTCTAGCGTAGAACAATACTTAGATTAGAGGGACAAAGTATTATCTGAGCTAAAGAGATATTTGTTGAGAGTCCAACAGATCATGAAAAGGAAAGCTGATAAGCATAGGAGAAAGTAAACTTCGAGCCATCATATATGGTTTACTTAAAAATTGAGGCCCTACAGACATAAAACATTAGCCAGAATGAGGATTGAGAAATTATCCCCGCGGCATTTTTAGCCTTACGAGGTCGTTGAGCGTATTGGAACAGTAGCCTATCGATTGAGGCTACCACCTTCATATGCTTTTCACCCAGGCTTTCATATCTCACCTCTGAGGAAAGCGATAGGAGAGCATACACTATCATCTCTATCTCCGACTTTGATAGAAGATGTGAAGGTCATTTTGGAACCCTGGAAGTGCGGGTGTGCGCAGAGGGGATACAGTGGCACATGAGGTGCTAATCAAGTGGAAAGATCTTCCAGAGCATGTCACCACGTGAGAGCCATATGAGACAATTCTCTACCTTCCACCTTGAGGACAAGGTGTATTTTGGGGAAGGGAGTATTGATACGGGAGAGGGCAGCAGGGCTAGGGACGGAAACGGCAAAGGATTTGGCCCCCCTTGTGGGGCCCATTAATCCTATCATTACATATGTGAGAAGTGGAATTATGGAAGGGATTAATTAGGAATCATTTTTTAATTGAAATTTGAATTGGATAGGAAAATATTTTAGGAAAGGGGAGCTGATTTAGAAAGAGATTAATTAGGATGGATTTTCTAATTGAAATTCAAATTAGAGAGGGAAATATATCAGGGAAGAGGAGGGGGGGTGTTGATTTAGGAGGGAAAGAGGAGAAGCTTATTTAAGGCTAAGTTTAGGGTTTGTTTTGGTTATGCAGTATTTTATTTGAGAATTGTTGTAGTTTTCTTTTCGTGAGGGTTTCCTATCGGCGTATAGGTTGTTCGGGAGAGTCGATCTGCCTCTAGGTTGTTCGGGAGCGGAATGTGGAACTAGCCATCTATATTCATATTCCTGCATTTTTTTTATTGTGTTTGCTGTTTTTGTCTCCAAGACTTATCAATTTTTTATCCTTGGACACCTATATCTCTTTTTGTCCCCCAAGCAAATGATAGTAAAAGTCAATTTATCTTTGCCATTTATTGAACTGGTTTGAAATAAGTTTGCTGTGTTAATTTGTACTTTCTTTACCAGGCATTTCATATCAACAAATGCAACTTCCACATTCCGCTCTATTGTCTCAACTTATCCTGGAGAATTGTTTCTTGTTTCGATACAGGTATTGCTCACTGTACCTTAAACTTATTGTCATCCATGTGGACTATGTTAAGAAAATTGTAGTAATATAAACACAAAATTGTTCTCTCTTGTCAAACTTTGTGGTTCATTTGGTTTGATTGGACTAAACTTCTTAACTCAAATTATTCATGTTATAATTGAATAATTTACCTAGTAAATTGCAGCAAAAAATTTTGAATGATGGGGCTGCTCTTAACAAGCTACATTTCATGATTCAACTTGAAAGATTATTTTCACTATCAAACGGAGGGATCATATTATTTAGAGTTCATCTGGGCTTACTTTATTTTTCATATTTTTTTTAATTTTTTATTTATTTTTAACGTGAAATAAAACATGTCTTATATCTTTAAAAAATGTGATTTCTATTTTTATTAAAAATTGAATTTGTTAATTTATACGGTAGTGGTGTTGGTGGCCGGGGAGACTGACAGGTTGTGATAATTGTTACTAAAAACACTAAAAAATATCGTAAAGTTTTATAAGGGTTTTAAAAATTTTGATTTATTTTTAAAAATAAAAGATAAAATAGGTAAAAATACACTAAATAATACATAATAAAAATAAAAAACAAAATAATCCCAAACATTCCCTCAATTTTGAGTGGAGTAGTTGATTTAATCTGTGCAAAAATAAAAATTTTTTGTTCAGTGCCCAAATCCTGATTTCAACCGTGAAGGTCATAGGTGGAGAATGGTCCAAAGAGCACTCGTAGAGGCCATCATAGATCTGCTAGCAGTAGATGCAAAGGTCTTCCCCTACCATAATTTTCTCCATTTCATTTTAGTTATTGTTTCCATTTTCTTTTGAGGAGTTAAATTCGGGCTATGTTTCCAGGTTTTCCTACAGTCAGACATTGAAGCTGTCACCATTAGAATGAAAGAACAGTTCATAAAGTATGGAAAAGGTAGGATTGTTAAAGATGAGGATGATGAAGATAAGATAGGGTTCCCAGAGAACCCTTTCGGGGTTCGCTCCGATTGGGAACAACACGCTGTGGATCGAGGAGATTTTATGTACAGAATGATGCTCAGGAAAGTCGGCAATCCTTAAAGAGTTTGGTGGTAAATTTTCCCCAATATAAATAGTTGCAGTAGAATTCAGATAAAATTAGGAACATGTCTCCATGGTCCAGGAAATCTTTTGTACAGGGAAAGATGCTGAGAAAAGCTTCTGTCAATCCTTAACAGTTGGAGGTAAAGCATAATGAACGTTGTTGCAGGATAACTTAGATTAGATTGGGAATGATGCTTAGTAAAGTTGGCATTCCAACCTGCTGGAAGTAAAATTTCTATAATATACATAATTTTAGCAGAATTAAATATGAATATTATTATGTTATGTATAATTATACTTTTTTCTTTTTCTCAAATTCCACCACCACTTAATAATAGAAACTTCCATTTCACTACGTACATGCCGTGGGTGACGAAGATTAGAAGGGCTTAAAATGTACACTGAATGGTATTTATTTACTAATGGAATATGCCGTATTCATTTGCTTGCATATATCTATCTTGATTATATTCTATAGTTGAAAAAAAAAGCCATTGGTTGCTAAGGATGAGTGATTCTTAGGATCTGTTTGGAATTTACTTTTAATTGCTTTGTTTTTTAGATTGTAACAATAATTTTATATTTAACTAATTTTTTAATAATTTTTAAGAAATTTTGGTAATAAGAAATTGTTTACTGCAGCGGTAAAAATATATATATATATATATATATTTCTCGCATTAAATATAGTCACTTTTATTAAAAAATTTGCTATCACAGACAGACCATTACGAAAAGAAGTATTAATTGTATACAAACTATTTTGAGGACAGCATATTTTTCTTTGTTCAGAAGCACAACTGAAAGGATATTTGCTATTCTTATATATTTAAGCCTATAATAACCTGTCAGCTAACATATATTAAAATGGCATACAAAGGTGACTTTCAAATAATGGGGGTTCTAATTAAATGTGGGTTTTGGTTTTTGTAACTTTACAGAAATTTTTCCAATGGGTTTCCTACCAACGCGTACCTTTTCTTCCTAAAGCAATTATCGCAGAATATTAATAATATTTTTAGATATTTTTTATGATTGAAATAATAGTGAAATATACCACAAAATAATGGGAGAATCTACAGCTCCAGCAGAAGTTAGAGCCCTGAAAGAAAATTATACCAAAAAAGATGCAGAAGTAAGAGAAGCTCTTGGAATTTGAATTGGGTTTTTTCAAATTTTTCTTGGTCTATCTGTTGGTGGGTTTTCTGTTGGAAATGAAGGATCGGTCACCGGTCATCATTGGTGGCCAGAGCCCTATTAATTGTTCGTCACTTGCCTCTCATGCATTTATGGTTCATTTGTCTCACATCAATTCGTGATCTCTCTAAAGTTTAATCGCTGCAATGCTCCTCTTGTTATCAGAGAACCAAGTGGTGTCGTAGTTCAATCCTCTCCACCGGTTATTGGTAAAGGCAAGCAAATTGTGGAAGAGTTCAAGGCGAATACTCCACATGGTGTTTCTAGAAATAATAATTTCGAGTCATCTTCTTCGGACATGAAGTTATTCGTTAATAGGTTTGCCAATTCTAAGCCTATTTCCATTTGTCTGTTCAAAGTAAGGTTGATCATCGTCGTGGCAATCCTTGGTCTAAGCGACCCTATATTAAGGTCAATATGTTGGAAAATGAATCCTTTCTGTCAGATGATGGTTCTGTAGTTAAGTTGTATGATCCTAATGTTGAAGCCAGTTCAAAGAAGCTTCAATACTCTATTGTCGTGAAAGTCTTTGGTAGATATATCCCTATACAAGTGATAGCGAAAGAGTTGAGACGACAACGGTCGCAATTTGGGAAGTTCCATTTGACTGTTCTTGGCTCGGGGTGGCTGCCCTGTTCTTTTTTTTTTTAACTAATGAATTTATGGAAAATGTATCATCTGGTGGCCCATGGTTTGTGAACGGTCATATCATTTGACTTGATAAGTGCAATCCTATTTTCTCTTCAGATTCTTTAAATGGTTTGTCTTCTCCAGTCTGGATTAGGATGCCCAACCTTCCACTTTATTGTTGGGATGAGATTAATGTGTGGAGAATAGCTTCTATGATTGGAAAATCTCTTTTGATTGATGGCGATGTGTTCCAATGGGAAAGAAGGGAATGTGCTAGAATTTACGTCCAAGTTGAGCTTGATAAACAACTCCCTGTATTTGAAGGAATTTGTTAAAGAGTGGGATGTTTTTTTTGTTGGTATTTGTTGAAACTAAAATTTCATCTATTAGTAGAGGTGAATTTGATAAATTCATGGGAGTTGGTTGTGATTTTTTTCTCTTCCCTTCCAATGGGATGTCTAGAGGTATCTTCGTGATTTGGAGGATTGATTTGGCCTCCTTTTTGTGGTGGAAGCGTCTGCTCAATGTGTTATTGGGGAGTTGAAGATTTTAAACAAAGGTTTATGGGTGGTCTCTATTGTTTATGGTAATAAAGACTTATATGGAAGAAAGAAGTTGTGGGATTGTTTGGAGTTGCACTCAAGGTAAGAGGTACCTTCTGTGGTAGGGGGAGATTTTAATTGTATCCTATCTTTAGATGATAAAAAGGGTGGTAAGAAGTTCTCTTTTTTCCAAGGGCCTTCCAAGATGAAAGCTTTTATGAAAATAGTGATCTTCATGATGTTGGGATTCTTGCACCAAAGTATACTTGGTGCAACAATAAAAATGGGAGTTCTTGTATTCTTGAAAGACTTAATAGATGTTTGTTGAATTCTAAGGCATTGGAAATGGTTCATCAGGCTTCGATTGGGCACTTGGCTAGGGTCGCGTTCTGTCCATTGCCCAATTGTTTTGAAAATTTTCAACCATACCTATTATAGCAACAAATTTTTGAGATTTGAAGATGTATGGTTGTCTTATCCAACTGCAGCTATGGTGATGAGTAAATCATGGAATAAATCGATTAGTGGTGATGCTATGGAAGCCTTAAATAAGAAATTTCCAGGGTTCTGGAAACCTTGCATTTTTTGAGCAAATCTAAACATCAGAATTTGGTTGATCTGAAGGAAAAACTTAAGAGAGAAATTGAAGATCTTCAGTTGGAGGAATCGATGGGTCTGAACTTTTCAGAGGACAAGCTTCTATTACTTAGGTCTAAAATAAATGATTTGAACAGGAAACTTGCACAATTAAATACTTAGTGGAGGTAAAGAGCAAAGGTAAGATGGTTAGGTGATGGTGACACAAATTCAAAATTTTTTCATGTTTTTGATAATGGACGTAGGAATGGTAACTTTATCAATCAAGTGAATGATGATGTTGGCACTCTTGTGGAGGATCCTAAGGCTATCAAGGATATCTTTATTAAATTCTTTGGTAACAAGTGGAGGTCTAGAGATTGTTGTTTGTGGTGTTGTCCATCTAATCCTAACTCTTTAAGTCAAGGGGATTGTGATATCCTTAATGATGATTTCTTGTTTGAAGAAGTGGAGGTTGTGGTTAAAGATCTTGGCAAAAATATTTCTCATGGTTTTGATGGTATCTCTTACTCGTTCATCAAAGCTTTTTGGAAGATGATTGGTATAGATGTTTGGATTGCTATTTATTCTCTTCTTATCTTCGGGTAAGATGTGCTCTTAGTGGAAGTAGACTATAGTAATTCGTATTCCTAAAATCAGTAATCCTCTAGTTCCTTCCAACTTTCATCCTATTAGTCTTTGCCTATTCATTTACAAGGTTGTTGCCAAGGTTCTTTTGAATAGATTATTAGAGGTTATTCATTGTTTGGTTTCTGATGTTCAAGTAGCTTTTATCAAAGGGATGACTTTATCAGATCATGTTCTTCTTACCCAAGAACTTTTATATAAATTTAGATTTTCTAAATCTAAAAAAGCTTTGGTTGCAATTAAAGTGGACATGGAATAAGCATATGATAGCATGGCTTGGGATACTCTTAGGCAAGTTTTGGATTATTTTGGTTTCCCATTGAAATTTTCTAACCTTTTATTGGAATGTGTGATTGACCCTTTGTTTTCGGTACAAGTCAATGGGGTTGGTTCAAAGTCGATTGAGGCTAGAAGTGATTTTAGATAGAGATGTCCATTATCACCTTATTTGTTCATCTTATGTTCTCTGGTTCTTACTAATGCTTTTTTAATTAACGGATAGAACTTGGGTTTAAAAGTGGACCTACTGCTCCAAGAATTACTTATTTACTATTTTCTTATGATATTCTTATTTTCTTGGAAGTCAAGCTTGAGTACTTGATGAAAATTAAGAAAATTATTTTAGATTATTGGTGTTGGACTGGACAACAAGTAAACATTCAGATGTCGTCCATTTTATTTGGCAAATCAGTGGAACATAATAGGAGAAGAGCTATATCCAAGCTTATGGGGTTTAATGAGGTAAAAGAGAGCAATATTTGGGTATCAAAATTGCATTGAGGAGACTGGTTTCTTAGACTTCTTCAATCTTTTGGAGAAATCTGCTTCAAAATTGGAGGTGTGGGGTAATAAGTTCATCTCCTTAGCAGGAAGATTGGTGCTTGTTAAATCGATGATTCTTTCCATTCCATTGCACTACTTATCCCATTCTTTAGTTCCTTCGAGCATTTTGAGAGAATTTGATAAGATGAGTAGGGAATTCTTATGGAATAAGAAAGATGGAGGTCATGGTTTACACTATGTTGCTTGGGAGGAACTTTATAAAACAGTGTATGCTGGAGGCCGTGGAATTCACTCAACCGTTTCTACAGTGGGACCTTTGAGAGAAAAATTATCTTGAAATTTTCTTAACAAATCTGATTCTTCTCTTAGTAAATCTTTATATGCTAAGTATGGCAGAGATATTTAGTGTGATTTACCTAGGATTAATTCTTATTCGATTTGGAAGATGATGCTGAGTAGAGCTAAAACTCTTAGGCCAATTGTGAGATGGAGGATTGCTTCAGGTTTTTCAGTTAACATTTTAAATGATATTTTGGGTGTTATATAGAAGCTTTTATATATATCCTACCTTTATTTTTGTGGAGGAGATGGATTTTCCTCCTTTGGAGAATTTTATTTCTGGTGGAATTTGGAATCAGGTGGAATTATTTAAGTACTTTGGAGATCCTTTGATTGAAGTCATTCTTCAAATCAAGATTTATTCAAAGCTTTTTGTATGACGAACTAGAACTTATAAACAACTTCTTTGGTAGAAC